ATTATCAGTCCATAATTGGCAAATCAATACCTGGTAATAAAAAATACATATTTAGAATAGTTTATAATAGTGGTACTTTCACAATCGACTCGGGTTGATCCGTCAAAAAAAAATATTTTAATAATTTTAAATTAGTTAAATTAATTTTTAAAAAAATTTGTTATCTATATTAATTCCCATGACATTTATATACAACATTCCTTTTTAAGTCATTTACTGTACAATAATCCCATGTAGCGTGGTACGATATACTATTGCCAAAGCGAGAATTTCGAAATAGAAAGAATTCTTTCATCGTTCGATGATTGATTTCATCAATTTTTTTTTTTTTTGAGATTTAAAATTTTTATTATTATTATTCTATTTTTATCTAAGTTATAACTAATAATAATCGAGAACATAAAAAGGCTAGTCGCTTGACTATATTAGAGTAAGCTATTAAAATTACGTTACGGATCATATGATTTACTATGTTCGTAACTTGATTTTAATAGCAAACCTCGCATTTTGCATTTTTGAATGACATATCCGCGCAATTTTGGAATGAGTCAATTGACGCACCTCATTTGACCATATGAAATTTATATAAAATTGACGCACCTATACCTGGGAAGCTGGGTTAGACATAATACAGCTTTCCAAAAATGGGCGGATATGATTTTTTTCAATATGATTTTTCTTTCACATGAATGTTTTGTTTACGTTACATTTTCTTCATCGGATAAACACAATATAAATTTCTGTAATTCTAAATTCTTAGTGTAATGAAACATTATCTGGTTCATCTAATCCAATACCTCCAAACCTTAGATTAAAAAAAAAAATAATTAAATTAACGTTTCTTGAAGTGTATTTAAATAAATTTATATGAAAAAATATACACTTTTCCTGAAGCTTCTCGCAGATAAATCCTCTTCAAACTTTCTCTTAAATAATCTTAAAAAATATATATAGTTTTCGTTAAGATAAGGAAATAATGTAAAATCCGATATCTGATGTAAAAGAAAAAAATAGATTATAATATTCGAAAAGTTTCAGAAATGAAGGAAAAAGAATATATTTATACAATTGCTGACTAAATGGAAATTTAAATAAAATTTTTGTTTAAAATACTGTAGAATCCAAGTTTTATAATGCTGTTCATGTCAAAATTTTGAGCTGTAAAAGATTAACTTGTTACTTTTTATTAATTAAATATTATGCAGTAGAAATTCATGTTATAAACGCTGGAAAAGCTTTGTCCTGCCTGCTTATACATGCTTACTACTATCTTTTAAGAATAATCTCGTTCTTAAACTATTCCATGACTCCACAACACGTAGCCGCAATAATGACTTCATTGACAAATTGAACTTTTTCATACTTGTCTTCTATAAATTTTTTTGAACTAAATAATACGTCATCGTACTATTGGTTGTCAACGTATATATATATTTTTTTCTCTTTTGCACATACCAATATTTAACATGTAATTTCATAATTAAATTAAAGAATACAAACAAATTGATTAAATAAAAAAAAAATTTAGCAAAAGAAATAGAAAATAACTCAACGAAACGATGATTTGATAATTTTAAAGTATTTCACGTGACAAAAAAGCTAAAACTGTTACATCATTATCCAATCAATTATCTCCAAATTGGTTGACAAAAAAATTTTCCTGTTCTTCTTTCTTTCTAGAAAACAGAAACAAAGATGTGGTTGGTCAAAGAGAAAGGAAGCACGTACTCGTATAAGAGAAGGAATCCGTAATGAAAGCGAGTTATCCTTTAGGTATTTTTGTTAGAAATAAACTGCACTAGAATTGCGATTTTACAATTGCTTTAGAATTACGGTCATTGTGTTGGGACTTGTTCCAGAATTACAGTTTTCATGTTGAAACTTGTTATCGTTTTGAGATGCTGAATAACTGTGAGTGCGCATATACTAAGCAAATCTTTTATAGGTTCCCTTCAAGAAGAAAATGAACGGCTTCAATCGACAGTAACATTTCAGCAACCGTCTGATAAGGATAATAAGATTCAAGAACTTTACGCTGTTAATGAGGAATTACATTACAATTTCCTACAAGCTTGCCTTAAAATCAATGATCTTCGGTTGAAAGATTAACCTTTCTTTATGTATCAATTGTATATATATACTAGGAAACGGAAACCGTTCTGGTCCGAACATAATTTCGATAATAACATGGGTTAATTTTCGATACATGACACAAAATTTTTGGTAAATAAACAAATCCACAAATTTCATGCTATAGACCGAACGACATTGCCTAGTCCTCCGCTATGCTTTGGACAACAAACAGTAATTTTTGGCAATTAAGGACAGTTATCAAAATAGCCATATCTTAAATTTTATTCGAGTATGTATTAAGTCATGTTGTTACGGGTGAATTTTCTTCCTTAAGCAGGCACTTAGCAAGTGAAATCTACAAAAATTGTAAAAATTGTTGATTTTACAAGTCGATTTTGGTTGTACGAGACCGATTTTCATGAATATTTCATTTTATATGCTAATTTCAAAATAACGGCATTGCGTACGAGATTTTTAAATACACAAATATAGCACATTTAAAAATGCTGTAATAGATAATATTCATATTGGTTGAAAACGAGTACAAGGATCCGAAAAAATTATGTTACACGAATTAATTTTTTTATTTAATTAGATCGCCTTATTTTACTTTTTTTATGATTACCAAAATTTTGGTTATTACTTAGCTACAAAATTTGCACAAAAATAAATCTAATCATTTCTTTCAAGTGACCGTGAATATTTCTCACATCAATCTCATATGCGCCTTCAGGTGGTTCATAAAATCCATTTTCTTAGATGACGTTTTGACAGAAGGAAGATTTCTACATCTTCCCAAGTTCATAATTATTCTTACATCTATGATGATAATGAGTGTCCAAATCTTTACCAAATTTCAACAGTTACGCCATCGGGATGTACCTTCGTCAGAATCATGGTTTTATCAAATTCTTTAACTCGACTTAATCGATGATCTGTTCCAAATTAGTCTTTTCTCGAGAAAATAAAACTTGCTGACGTGTAATATACAGTATATCCATACCATCCGGTAAATATCTAGGGTTCAAATGACCTCATTATCATTCATGGTCGGTAGTGGATAGAATGTGATTGATTATAGTATTTACTAGGAAGTGATCGGTCATTCATATTAAATTGGAATGCATGTTCAAATAAGTATATGGAACTTCTTTTCTATCAATCCATGACGCAATCAATAGTACAAAATTTCTTCAGTAAATATTTTAGGTGAGGTTTAAATATATTATAATTTTTTTCAAAGTATGATTGAAATGAATCTATATTTTTCGTATTAAAAAAGATGAATTTTAAGAACAACCAGCCATAATACCGAAGGAAATTACAAAATTGATAATGGGAAATTTTCAGAGTTACTGAAAAACCTAACCATCTTGGTGAACTCCGTCTCGAAAGTAAAATCGAGAAAATTTCGTCATTAAAAAAATTCTAAAGATCTGCCAAATCCTAACAGCATGCTCCATATTTATCTTCACTAGAAAACAAAATATTTTAATAATTAACATCCTGATACTTGTGGTTTTGTAAGCTTCTTTTTAAAACGTGAAATAAATATTTATATTTTAAACTATACAACATTTTTATTTTTTTACAAATGTTATCGGATGAAATAAAGTAGTTAAAAAAAAAAACTTTATGATGTAGATTTATAATCATTAAAGCGTAGCTCATATCTTTCCAACCGTTGGGGTAAGAAGATCCAATTAACTTTCCGGTTTGAAGTTTCATGATCATCAGTGAAGGTCCGTGATGACATCTGACCGTTGGTAAGATTTGTTTGTAATATTTATGATTATCTTAAAAAGAAGGTTGCTTGATCTTTCATGAGAAACACGTGCCTAAATTGGAATGGTGTGTCTGATACAGTGTATGGATCTTCCGTGGATCCTTTCTGTCATCCGTATCCAATTGAGTCTAATGATCTTTGGTTCAACGGATGAATTAATACGACGTGGAATTAGACATTGGGGTCTTACCTTAGGAATATATGATCATATTTGAGGTTCAAAGTCTTATAATCCTTATGCTTTATGTCGTTGTGTCAAATCAATCCTCCTCAATGCATCGATCAGAGACATATCAAATGTATTATCAGCTGTAGTAACGAAACCGGGAATGTTAGCTCAAATAATTTCCTCATCAATCGATGGAAAAACTGGGGAATCGATGGTCTCTCTACAAAGATTTCTTGACAATATAAATAGAGGTCTTGAAGGAGCGGAATTTCGATAAGAGATTTTAAATTATTGAAATAATATCCTCATCACAATTCCTTGTTTTATCCTTCTTTGATCCAATTTGGATTTCAAAAGGTCGAAGGAGTAGGATACCAACATCAATCCATCAAAAGATCCATATTCGAATCATTCAAAATGATCGTTACGCTACTACCGCTATGAATCTCAAAATCATGGTAATCATTATCAATGTCAAGTTAATATAAAAAAAAAAAAAAAGATAATAAAAAAATAAATCTCGAAAATTTCTTCACGAATAAACTTTAAGATTATCTCAAAGGCATCATATGAAACGTCCAATCTTAGCTTGTACTTATCATCAACTTTTGTCGTTTTTCTGATAAAGCGACCTTGAAATACTTTGGAGCATCCTTGAATGCGCGTTGAAATCTTGACATCGTCGGATTTCTATCGTCGATTTCTATAAAGGTACCAGGAGGATCGTAGGTCGCAGAGGAATCTGTAGATAGCTCTGCCAAGCTATAGGAAATCATTACGCATTTGGTAAATTGAAAATCAAGCGAAACTTTGACAATTTAAATCTACTAAATTTTGTGTCACGTCGTACTTTAATGATTGTTGGTGTACAAGATTTCGTGTCACAAACTTTAATATCTTGGAAATATTTTATCTTATTTTATATTTAAACTTCATTTTCAGTTCAGTCCAAAACTTGGCAAATAAATACCCTGATAATAAATTATACATATATAATAGGGTTAGACCGTTACCGTCCTACACCAAACCTATTGCTAGGCTTAGTTAATTCATTGGTTTCAAATATGTTAACTAAAAATATAAATATAGCTAATGGATTAAAAAATATCCTATATCGTAATCACGTGCCCCTTTTTTTCTAATGGACTTTCAAGAAAAGGTTATAAGTGATCTATTTGTGGAAAATATTCCTGGTATAAAAGATAATCAAAACGTCGAGAAAAGATCACAAACGAGAGTGATTTTATTTTTAGGTAAAAATGCGAACAATGTCCGTTCGTGATAGTACATAATTTAGAATTGAAAAATTTGAAGATATAGTATGATAAAAGAATTATTGATGATACGTATTCGAGTTATCGAAGAAAATATGACTGTTGTTAAAACGGTAAGTGAAGGTAAATTGAAAGTGAAATCGAAAAAAAAAAAAATTATTTATTTAATGAAATCACGTGAAGAGTTATTACTTGAGGCTTGGACGAGGAAAAAAAATATAACAGATATTGTTTAATAATATTAACAGTTATAAAAGTTCTTTAATAACTTATACATAAATTTAAAAAATTAATTTTGTTCCATTTTTATCTGCAGTTTTGTAAATTTTTCTTTCATTTCACATAGAGTTTGTAATTCATCTCTACTGAGCTGATCACGTAAAGCAAGCTTATCATCTTCTAATCGACGTTTAGACAATTGAAGAGTTTGTACATCAAGATCTTCTGATCGTTGTAGACGAGTTAATTGTTCCTGAGTTTCAAGAAGAGATTCTAATAAAACATGATGTTCCTTTTGAATCTTGGATTTTGCTTTACAAATCAATTCTTCCAAATGAACCTCTTCATAATTTAATTCCTGATTTTGTCTTAATGATCTTTCATATTCTAATTCATCAGTTAACTTTTGGATCGTTTCCTTTAGATTCATTATCTCTTCTTTGTTACTTAATTCCGTTTTCTCTTCAAAATTCTTTGCAAATAAACAGTAACATTTTAATTGAATTAAATCTGTGGAGACGGTTTTTCCACTAAATTGATCTGGCAAAGATTTCTCATCATATTTGTAATTATGTTCTTCTTCATTAAAGAATTTTATAATAGAATCGTCTCCCGTAAAAGTTCTGATTTTTGATTGAATTCTTTCCAAAATTTGAGTATTTTCATAATTTGCACAACAACAACCTTTGTCATATATATAATTTGCGAGTAAAGAAAAATATTTATAACCAAAAGCTTTATATTGAAAGTATTGTACCAAATATTCGGCAATGGCATAATTTTTAAAATCTTTTTTATCAAAAAAGAAATGTTCTTTTATCAACTCTTGAGAATCAAAATAAGCAATTGCGGCGGCAAAACATTCCCCACCATTCCTAGGATATTTTTCAAACTCTTTTAATACATATTTATAGATCTCATCATTTTTATCTAGGCTCATAAATTTCTCTCCCAATTTACTATTATAATAAGGTGCATATGGAACTTCATTCTTTTCAGATTTCCAAATGGTTAAATCTATTTTTCTTGTCGCATTTTCTCTCCAGGTACGTTTTTGAAAAAATGGGAAAAATGGGTAAAAGTTAAGCATTTGGAAGATAAAAATTATTTGAAAAAAAAGTGGGTGGGAATAGAATTTTACGGCTTATTTAAATCTATCAGTAATTCCCATCGTCATGATTTTATTAAATTATCAGGCCACCCTTCTGTAAAAAATATTACATCATAATCACTAACTGAAATGGTTTAATTTTGTCACATCATGATGATCGGTGACATTTACCGTACCATTCCGAAATTAAGCACCCCCCGAATTATTACGGTTCCGAAAATAAGCACCCCCTCGAAAACTGTAAATTTTTTTAGTTGTTTTAGTAATTAACAAATAAATACTTAAATAAATATTAAATTGTTA